TTTGCTCCGAGTCGTGTTGTTTTGATGCACAGAGACACTTAGGATCACAAGAGACCCGGTTGTGCTAAAGTATTCATACTATACAATGAAATAATTATGTTTTTCTATCCACTGTAGTGGTTTAACCGATGATCAGAAATGTATCAACAATATACTGTAACTGATTTTGTTCCATAAATACCAATGTCAGTGTTTCTATTTTAGTAACCCATTTCAATCATGTATGACACCATTTTTCTTTCTTTCTTTTTTTCAGGCCTCACAACATTTTTTTTTTTTTTTTTAAATCCTCAAACTGTTTTATTTGCCTGAAACAACAAAGGACAGCAACAGAAAAATGTGACAACCATATATTAATTCTGACATTAACAATAGAAACACCACAACTGTAGTAAATTCATTATATTTTTGATATCATTTATTTGATAATTGGTACCGAGAACAATGTATGTTGTGCTTAATCTCAATTCTAGTCAAGTGCATTTTCATTATGCAATCATTTTATTTAGGATGTTATCTGAATATACATTATCTCTTCATGGCTACGTGCTTGTGCAGTTAGCATTGTATTTCTAATACATAATGATGATATTTGCCACCCAATGACACCGTTAACTTATGTTTTGAATATGAAATTCAGTCAGGCATCGGCCTAGACATCTGCTCTTTTCTATGAATGCGCAAAAATGAGGTGACACATCTTAGAGATCCATGGTGACAGTGCTATTTCTGTCTGCAACAGAAGAAATGTCATCAAAATTATTGTCACATTGCTGAGATTAGACACAACATTAGAAATGTGCTGAAAGAATGTTGGAGCAAAACAACAACACAAACACAATCAGGATGTGGCTAAATGTTCAAAGTCAAAGTTGAGCATATTTCAAGCAAGCTAGACCATCTTGCTTAACATTAATTAATTTAAAAGTACGTATCATATTGTTTTCATCATTCGTAAAAAAGTAAAGTTTAATAACGAGCAGGACATTGCATGGGAAATAGATTATGCAAATAAGTCAAGTTATATGTATAAGTACAACCTTCAGGCTTGTACTAATGAGTTTTAAACAGTGACAGCTGACATTTTGACATTTATGTATGGCTTATTCCAAAGCATAATAAAACCCTAACCTTTCATGTTCTTACATTACACACAACAGTCTGATTGTCATTAGTCATGGAATATCTTTAATTCACATTCACTTCTATCAAACTCAGCGATATAGTCTTAATGAGGTATTGGTGGGAGTTTATCATGTCATGACTCTCTGTTACTTAAACTAGTGAGATTAACACCAAATATCTGGAGTCCCCACTTCCAAGTGCCGATGTAATATGTTACTGTTGAGCAAATACACTTCTGCAGGTTTTCATTATCCCTGAACATGAACAGCTACACTGAAACGTTTCTACTGGACCTGTGGTGATGTTAAGATTACTGTATAGACATTAACATGTCTGTTTTAGTAACACAGCCACACAACAAATAATAATTCTGGAGGCCATGTTAACTACATTGTTGTCTAAGCCAGCCATCTGGACACATTATGTTCATTGCTTTCACATGATCTTTTAGTCTAATGTGTTTTTTCTTGGGAGTAAACAAAATGACTGGTATTATGCTCACATTTGCTAATGTGCAGCATTGATTTGTTTTCTCATCCAGGGATTTTGTTTTTTTGCAGAGCTTTATGAAATAAGGTAACCACTAGAATAAATCCAGTGCTGTAAACATGCCCCAGTGGCAGCATGATTGAATATTTATAAGAATATTTTTTCCCTTAATGTTAGACTTTCATAGATTTTTTTCTCTGCTTTCCAGATTCATTCAGAGGTCATGCACTCAGCCAATATCTTTATGAATATCACTGGTTATTATATGCTCCAACACAAAGTACAAACATGCTTCTGTCCTGCTCCTTCCTTTAAAATGACTGTCACGGCTAAACCAAGGTAATAGCTTAATCCGAGGAATTTGCTGGTATTATGTCAGTTAAAATAAGGTGAGATAATGTGCTGAATAATTCATTGCAGGCGTTCGTCGCCAAACTCTACATCCAATCTGTAAAAGACTGAGGATAAAAAGCAAGTGAAAAGGGATGAAAGCATTGCAAGTGAGCCTGGCAGGGAATGATGAAAGGAAAGGGGCAACATGATCCACAGAGGAGAGGAACATGGGGAAGAACATGAGAGGTGAAAGGCAGGCACAACAGGAAAAACATTAACAGGAGAATGGACGCAGAGAAAGAACAAAAGGCAAAATAAAATAATAATGTGATTCAGATGGGACATGAGTGTTATTGAGGAAAAAAAAGAATGCAAAGTAAGGAAAATAATTACTGGCAGAAGTAAACCTACACTATAGAACAGAGTGGTTTCCAGCCACCCTCCTTCCTGTGAAGTCACTTAGGACTAAAGCAGCAGGGATTTGTGAGGCCTGAGGATGAACAGAAAACCCATTTTCCCTCATGGCTACATCTGCCACTGTGCATTTATATGGCAATTGTACTGAAGAGTGGAAGAAAGATGTGATCAATGATCATGAAGGGTAATGGAGACGGAGGGACGCACAGTAATCGAGAAGGAGAGAGAACACAAAGCGAGAACAATGGGAAGCGTGAAGGAAAACATTGTGACATGATACAGGAAAGGGAATTTGAGAGTATTTTGAGCAAGCTGATGTGACAGTCAAATCAACAAAAATATGAAACGGCAAAAGCTGACATGAGATATATATATAGCTTTTTTAGTAGGACTGTTTGTACTTTGTAAAACCTTTAGACTGTCTATACTGTAACTGTACTTGTGCACCAAATCTGCAGTATTGAAATTCAAACAGAGGATAATTAAGGTTTTAAATGTCAAGTGTGTCCTGGCAGTGCATGGTGTCATTGTAAAATGAATAATTACTTTACATTTCCATGACAAATGGACAATTTCCTCTTTAGTATCCAGTGACAACTGCCGTGTTACAGCAGTGTTCAGATGATCAAAGACATTGCCTAGCTACTGAACATATTTATGTCTTACATTTATGGCTGATAAAATGGCTTCTTGGAACAGAGATTTCCACACTTTATTGTTTTTCATTGCAGTCTCTCTCAGTGGTACTGCAGAGTCATACAATGTCACTCCATTATCACTTTGTTGCTAAAATGAAACATTAGCCTTCATATGTTGTAGCCATTCTTCAGGGGAATTTATGTAAAAGTGCAGACAAAGAGGAGTTTGCGGGACTGCATTTCTGCAAAGCTGCCACCCTGTTGGAGATTAATGAACAAGTTTGTCCGTGGCACCGGTGCTCTCTGCGCCCCTCCCCTCTCAGCATTGTTTGATTTATGGACACCCAGCAGTGCATGAGTTATAATTTCAAAGGGGTTTGTTTTTCTTCATGAAGATGGAATTTTAAATGTTGTGATGAATGACCCCTTTAAGATTTTATTCATTATTCTGTCTTGAGTTTATTTTTGTACGTGTGTGCTGTTTGTGTATGTACTGTTCTCTATGTTCACGCTCCTGTGGCTGAAATGTATGCATATGGGCATCCGTGTGTACTTTTGTGAATATCACCACATCTTTAAATATGTCACACAAAAGCGCTGACCTTGCATTTTCTTTTTGACAATGCGAATATATATCGCCTTCAGGTCGTCGTGTCCTGCTGAATCAAACACTTCGTCTCACCTATTGGCTTGTCATTGTAGAAAAATCAAAGAATAAGTCATGGCCTCCCTGTCTTTCCAGCATGCTGTCTGTGCATATGGATTTACCTTATCATCCAGTCGCAGCATGTATGGCAGGGTGTTTGATCTTTCTGTGATGGTGAGATATCCAATGAACCGTGGATAAATGTGATGCTCTGGTGCATTTACATGACAACAAAAAAGAAGGAGAAAGGACCATAGGAGAAAAAGAAAGGTGCATCCCTGGTGCATTGGTGTGTGTGACACTCTGAAGATAGGAGTCCAGTTGCAGCAGTTTTCTACAAAGAACATCATTTCTGATTCATTTCTGTGCATGAGAGCAACTATATAGACAGAGAATGGACACGATAACAGAAACCCACAATGTGATACAATCGCTACTCGTATAGCCTTTCCATATAATCATTTGCTGTCATAAGCTGTCGTGCTTTTCTTGGTTATGATTGTGTTTATGATGTTTACCTGCATGTATGTACGTTTATAATGGTAAGTTATCTCCTGTACATCACTAATTTTGTATTTGAATAAATATGAAGCAGTGTATCTGGTAATACATCTGTATGAGCTGTACAGTCATTTCAATCAAATCATCCAAATTAGAGTAAGACACATTATAACAACAATAGTAACACGATGCATTCGTAAAGGTTTTACACACTGTATGATATGTGTGGATACAAGGGGTGTTTGTGGCACGGTTGTTTCACTTTGTTTGATGTAAAGCACACAGTTTGAAAACCTCTCCTTCATAAAGAAGAATCTACTAGTTTGGCCGTATTTTTGTGCCTACTCCATTTTCAAGTGATACATACTTTTCTACTTACACAATGCACTTGTCAGCAGCAAAGGAACAAATGATTTAGTCTCTGATTGTACCTGCCTCTTGTTATTTGGAGAACTAACCACGTAATGAAGTGCTAGAACTCTTTCAATAGCTAGCAATTGGTGCTCATTGCCATTCAACCTAATATAAGTGACACTGGAGCAATCGTTGTTATTGTTATAGGTGTTTGTATTGTTGTGTACAATCTGAAATATCGTCATTACCAATTAAGTGTGATCATAAGCATTTTGTTTCCTTGCGTGCTTCCCTTATATTTCAATAGCTGGCCATTGGTGCTCAATGCCATTCAAACTAATATAAGTGACACTGGAGCAATCATTGTTATTGTTATAGGTGTACAGTGTTTGTATTGTTGTGTAAAATCTGAAATGACCAATTAAGTGTGATCAAAGCATTTTTTTTTCTTGTGTGCTTCCTTTCTAATTCTCTTTCTCCCTTGTTCTCTTATCCAGGGAGGCCTCATTGCTCTCCTCCTCCTTATTCTCCTCTTCACCCTCGTCCTGTATACGCGCCACCGGTGGTGCAAGCGCCGCCGTATCCCACAGAAGAGCGCCAGCACCGAGGCCACCCATGAGATCCACTACATCCCCTCTGTTCTACTGGGACCCCAGGGCAGAGACAGCTACCGGGGCTCTCGAAACGCACACCAGCACGGGAACTCCGTCATCGGTATGCCCATCCGGGAGACCCCCATTCTTGATGACTACGACTGCGATGACGATGACCAATGTGGACACTCCCTTAACTCCACGCCAAACCAGCTCCACAACAAGCTGAGTGACGGGAAGTTCCATGAGGACTACGGGGTTAACATCGGAGGGCACACAGACATGACGTGCAAAGAGAATGAGATTAAACATAATTTCGAAATACGAGGTAGGTTAAATACTTTTTGATTGAAAAACAATTAACCATAAGGATTAATGTGATAGCTGTGAGATTAACAGCATGATGTAGTTGTCACAGGAAATCTGTTTTGCTCAGTGGTTGTTTCTGAGAGGATGATTTGTGCTTCCGTGGAGTCTCTCATTGCCAGCTCCCCAGATGGCCCGGCAGTTCACTTTGGCTCCGGACAGCTCAACCGTGTTCTTGATAGCACAGCATGTCCTGCTTACATTTAGTCAGAAATCAGCAGTTTGTGCACGCCATTACATCACTCTGGTAAAGATAGGAATCCTGTATTCTACGAGTAATATTGTTTTTTTGTATTTTTAATACTTTATTTTGGATTTGTATTTTGAGAGAGACAGCAGACAGGCAGGAGAAGGTCAAAATCCAGGAGCAGAAGTAGATTGCTTTGACCCAAATTGCTACGCTTGGATTATGTGGAAGCCTACCCTTTAACACTAGAACCGCCAATCGGGTCAATTTGACCCAGAACTGTTTTTTATTGTATGTAACTTTTTTTCAATAACATATTAAAGTCTCCCAGTCCGTGACTTTTCCTGAAAGTGTGTTATGTAGCACCCTATGTTGTTAAAAATTGTCAATATGAATTCAGATTGAAGAAATCGCCAAAAAATTGCCATTTATACCTATTTCCACCAAGCGGGTCATATTGACCCCACCCCTTTTTGCGCTATTGATTTTGCGTGTAAACAAACATGACGTGTTGCTATAGCAGTGGTTCTCAAAGTGGGGGGCGCAGAGGCATGACAGGGGGGGCGCGAGAGACCAGGAGGAAAAATGGTTATTACATTTTTTTTTTTTAAAGATAAAAAAAAAAAAAAAAAAAATCATATTTTCAAAAATTATTGATTCGAAAATAATATGATACAGTACTATTACGTCTGGGTCTCTGTGTTTCATTAAAGCTTGGCTCTGTGTGTGTGGAACGAGCCATTTTGTGTGCGTGCGCGAGCGAGAGAGAGAGAGCGCACCGGTACCGGAGATCGTTGCTGTTAGCTTCTGGTGCTAGCGAGCTACGCCAACGGATATAAGGAGTTTTTTCAACAACAAAGTGGAGGAGAGTCCTCTCCTGTCAGACTGAGAGACTCAGTGAGCTAAAGGACTCTCAGTGTTATCTCAGTGGGTCTCAAACGTTTGGTCACCATTAATGTAAACAATTATTTCCGAGGCACACGTTTATATGATCATTATAGTTATACAAAAATAAGAGAATACATTAAAAACAGGTATGAAATACTATGACAGTAAAACAAGAATAAAGTTTAAAAGGGTGATATGTAAAATATCCATAAAGAAATAGTAAATCTGTTTACAGTTCTGTGTTGAGAGAGGTATCCATAGATCTCTTAATTTTGCTCTCAAAGTGCACCAGATTGATGCTTTTAACTTCAATATTTAAAAACAAATCTTCCCGGGGGAGCTTGCCCCCGGAGCCCCCTAGAGGAGGTGAGGACCCCCCTATGTGAGGTCCACACACCACCTATAAAAATAGCACTTTACCCCTACTTACACCTATATGCCGTGAGCTGATTATCGAGCCTTCATTGTAACAATCGCGGGTACATTGTGTATATGCGTGGGGAGTGTTGCAGTAGAAAATTCCTCTGTAGCGCCTCGTACATTAAGGGGAAACCCTAAATGTTTGAGCACCCTCTATGAAACGTCAAGCTACCCCACAGTACCCGCAAAATAAATCTCTGGCGCCGCCACTGAGCCTGACTATTTGTGTTGGGGGGGGGCCCGACTTTTTTTTTTCTCCAAAGGGGGGGCCTGACAGAAAAAGTTTGAGAACCACTGTGCTATAGCAACACCTTTTGTCTACTGCGGTTCCTTATAGATTGAGTGATAGATTGAGAGAGAGATTGATAACTGTTATACAAATATACCGCTGCTGTGCTCAGTTCTCAGTCAGGTATAGGACAATATACTGACCATAACCTCAGTTTTGTATTGGGTTGTACACTTTTTCCAAAGCTCCACTCGCACTCTTAGGTCAGCTGATCAGTTGCTCCTGAGGGTGCCAAAAACAAAGTCTAAGCGCAGAGGGGACCGTGCTTTCTCTGCTGCCGCCCCTAAACTGTGGAATGACCTGCCCTTGCTCATCAGACAGGCTCCCACACTGTCTGCTTTTAAATCCCGTCTTAAAACCCACCTCTTCTCCTTAGCATTCAGAAACAAGTAGATTGTTGCTTTTATTTGCTTTCAGTAGTCTATTGTTTTTATTATATGGCTGTTATTTATTTTTTAAATGATTACGTTTATTCTGGTTTGTTTTGTGTTTGTATCTTGTATTTTAAATGTATTTATATTATGTTGTGTGAGCTTATCTCTCTGTACAGCACTTTAGTCTGAAGGTTTTAAAGTGCTATATAAATAAAGTTGGATTGGATTGGATAACCACAATAAAGCAAAGACATACACAATATACCGTAAATAGGTACCCAAAATCTTTACATGGCGTACAAGAGAAAAAAAAAGAAAGAAAAGCTTGGTATTGCATTGACAATTTCTGAGAATAGTCTAAAGCTGCCAGACAACAGCATCGTAGACATAAACAAAAAGGCCAAGGGTAACCCACTACCGACACAAAAAAAATACAGAAAGGAGGAAAAGAGAAAACAAAATAAATGGGGATGGATTGCCAAACACCAGACAAAATTAAGAATTACGCAGTCTAGAGTAAGTAAAATACAAGCAGCAGCAGAGCTCTTTAATTAAATGATTAATTATCCTCCAGCAATGTCAAAAACGGTTTCCACACCTTAATGAAGCAATCTTGTGAATTAAGTCTGTTAATGCGAATTTGCTCCATCCTAGCAGAGGAAGTAATATTGTTAAGTGTTCATTTATTTCTGAAACCACAGAAACAGTGTAGCCACCGTCTTTCATACACACTCAGTTAAAATAGCCATCAGCTCCGAGTGAGGAGAAGTAATGTGATGCGATGCAGTGTAATTTAATGCAATGTCTAAAGGTCAAGTGACAGGGGCCATTGGTGTGGTTGATTAGGTGCTGAGGTGTGTCAGTGGGTGGCCGTTGACCCTTGCTTAACATAACCGGGGGTCTGCACTTTAAGCGGGGGCAAAAGGGCTATTGCCATCTATGACAGAACTGGAAGTGATGCTTCAAAAATTATCCTACAGAGATTACCTACAAAAGTATTCTAACCATTATAATCTGCTATGTATATATCATATCCTGATGAACTTGGGGTGCTCTTCTGCAAAGCACAACTTTAATAATTGAAGGGTGCTGACTAAGTTGGAGGGTGGCCTGGTTATTTATGTCATACTGAATTATGCATGTCCGAAGTTTGTGGAAAATGCCCTTTTGCTCCCATAGTATTTATCACTTGACAAAACCGGATTTCCATAAGCTTTTTGCTTCTGCCTGTGAACTTACTTCCTGAAAATAGGCTGAAAAAACTGCTCAACATAATTTATTTTCAACTTTGAGGATACACTTTGCCCATTGGACAACAAAGAAAGCTGATTATTATTTCAGTTACATGTTATCAACATTATTTGACTGGAGGAAAATTGGATACAATTATATATATTTCTTTGTTAAGCCTTAAATTGGCATAGCCTCATAGTCTCTGACCAAGACAAAAGCTGAGAATCATTCAAGAAACGTGTATTGCATTGGACTAACACTTACAGCTTGAATATATTATGGTCAGACCTTATTCAAAAATGAAAAGGAAAATTATGCAACAAAGTGAAAGGATAGAGGTTAATTTCTGCTCTTTTCCCTAATGAAAAGGCAGCATGTTGAGATTAGCCACTGGGAGAAAGGAAGCAAGGCAGAGGTCAGAGAGGTCAAGGCTCCTACTGTACAAGCCTGTCTCTTGGGCCAATCGCCGCATTATGCCATTGTTACAAGAGAGCAACATGTTATAATATTCCTCAATGCCTCTAAAGAAAGAGCCAAGAAAACCAATCATAAATACAAAAAACACATCACACACTTATATCAACCACATGGCGACCGGTAATGAATGTGGAAACTCCCTTCACTAGGTGAAAAACTGAAACTTACTATTAGAAATGTTTAGAGTTATACATTAATTAATCTAGAGGGACACTATGAATAACATAAAATTCCAACATCAAATTATTGGATGTTCTCAATACTAAATTCAAAACATGGTAGGACTGTCTCTGTATGAAAGTGGCTACATTATAAAACAAATGCTCATATGGTGATTCTTTCTTTTCAAATACAGTATTTTAAAAACAATACCACGAATATCCATAACAATTGGTCATTCTCAAAAGGTTGTTAAAAATCCCATTTAACTTGATGCCTCTGCCTCCCCTTCTGTACTGTGCATAAAGCGCTGACATTTCAATACAGGGGCAATTAACTTCCATCCCACCTGTTCTATACTGCGAGGCATTCAAAAAGTCTCCAAATACCAGTCATCTCTTATCTGTTTGTCCTTGCTGACAGATAACCCCATTCAACTGCACTCAATAGTATTATCCCCAGGGATTATGGCTATGCCTCACAGGGTTGTGCCTGGCTTTAGCTTTTGTTACACAGACAACCAAACAAATGAGGCCTGTCAATTTCATTATTCATTGAGATTCCTAAGGCTTCGGGAATGAATTTGGGCAGCGTCAACAGTGTAAATCCATGTGCAGGAAAACCTTAGCGGCATGCTGAAAATATTGTTCTATGATGAGCACTCGGGGACCAGTTATCAGCATCAGACCGCTTTTATCACACATACCCCTCCCTCGCACTTCACAGCTCACAGGCTGCTTCCTCCACTGCTCACCTACATGTGTAGCTCTTGTTGTGAAAAGGGCAAGTTTTACATATCAAGCATTTTGAGTCATACATATAGATACTTAGTCTTCTGAGCTATTTGTAGAGGGCATTTACATTGTGCAACTGTTCTGTGTCCTGCTTTTTCAAACAAGCAGGAATTCAATTATTACAAAATTAGTTATCTTCCC